CTGCGAGCGCGTGCTTGGGTTAGCGCGGCCGCAGAGATGCGCCAGCCAACGCCAAGCACCCATCGTAATCGCTACCGTGTTTTGCAAACCGAATTGCGGGTGGGCGGGTGGGATGTTTGCACGAACGCGGAATGTGTCAACTCGTTTGTTAGACGTAGATTGCGTGCATAAGAGATTGCGCCACGTTTAACCAACCACAAACGTTTGGGCAACATGCGTTCTCTTTTCCCCCAGAACATTCGGATCCACCCCCCGTGACAGCAACGGCCCCCCCATTCGCATTGCAGTTTACATTCGGCTCTGCCCCATCGCCCGTCCAATGATTTCGCACCATCCCAGCCAAACCGGCAATGCCCCCGCCCTCATCCTCTGCAACACATTTTTTTTCGCGCGCACTCGGTTATCAATTACACCTGAGAAAACCCAATCAGTGGATGATTTGAAAATTGTTACTATGGATCTTGAGATCGATTGTGAGATCGATAATGTGGTCGATAGTGGAGTCGATAGCGAGGACGATTGTAAGGGCGATCGTGAGACCGAGAGTGGATTCGATTCATTGAGATCGATAGTGAGATCGATCGCGAGATGGCTCCTGCGATCTCTAGTGAAATCGCTTGTGACATTGATGATGAAATCGATTGTGAGATCGATGGTGAGATCGATCGAGAAATCGGTAATAAGGTCGATGGACAAACCGGTCAATAAGAATATCGACCAGGAACCCATGAATCCGGGACCCTCGCCGCCCTCCGAAATCGGCTGGGAACCCAGAACTGGGAACCCGGGAACCTGGAACCCGGGAACCCAGCGTGCCACCAAAATCGGCGGGGCACACTCGCCAAATCCTTCAACATCCGCGAGGACCCCTTCAGTGCAAGCACTGATTGGGGAAAAATCGGCGAGGCAATTTTGCCAAATCTTTCAACATATAATGATATCCGTAATGAACTCGACAATGAGATCGGTAGTGAGATCGATAATTAACCGTCGGCCTGGAACCAATAATCAGGAACCCGGGAACCCGGAACCGGGAACCCGGGAAGCAATGAGATCGGTAATGAACTCGACAGTGAGATCGGCAGTGAACCATCGGCCCGGAACCAAAAACCCGGGAACCCGAAACCGGGAACCGGGGAACTCAGCGCGCCACCAAAATCGGCGAGGCACTTTCGCCAACTCTAGCAAAATTCGCGAGGACCCCTTCAGTGCAAGCACTGATTGGGGAACATCCGCGAGGACCCCTTCAGTGCAAGTTTTTTTGGTCGGCAGGTCGGGAGCGGGCCCCTTCCGGTCAAGAGCTAAACGGGACGCGGGTTGCCCTAATTAGGGAGACAGTGCGCGGGCGGACGGGGCCTCAGGCGGCCGGAGGGCTCAGAAAACAGGCGGCCCTTCAGTGCAAGCACTGATTGGGGAAAAATCCGCGGGGCGATTTAGCCAAGTCTCTCAACATATAATTAAATCCGTAATGAACTCGACAGTGAGATCGGTAGTGAGATCGATAGCTAATCATCGGCCTGGAACTAATGATCAAATTAACCCGGGATACCGGAGCCGGGAACCCGGGAACCAATGAGATCGGTAATGAACTCGACAGTGAGATCGGTAGCGAACCATCGCCCGGAACCAATGACCAAGAACCCGGGAACCAGGAACGGGGAACCTGGGAACCCAGCGTGCCACCAAAATCGGCGAGGCACTTTCGCCAACTCTAGCAACATCCGCGAGGATCCCTTCAGTGCAAGCACTGATCGGGAAAACCTTCAGTGTTCAAGAACCCGTTGCAAAACAAATGCACGCCCTGGCGTCGTCGCGCGCGCATGCTGGAATCCTTCGGAAACCCGAGACTTCGTAATAATATTGAATAACTTGCCCAGAGGACATATCGAAACACATGATTTCTCAACGAGCACGTTGAACACAAAATTAAATGTGCGCTCGCGCTGTTGCGAGTCCGGAGAAAAACACCAAATTTTTCACCATATCCATAAAATGCTACCAAGCGGGCCCCTCGCGCGCGCAGGTCGGAATCGTTCGAAGGCCCTTGCGCGCGTGCTGTCGCAAGAACCGCTTGCAACAAATAAAAGACATCGAAATGCACGCGCGCGCGTCGTCGCGCGCGCATGCCGGAATCCGTCGGCAACCGTAAGCTTCGCAAGGATTTCAAAACCGAGTGCCCCCGAAACATATGAACCCCTGCGAATTTTCAAGAAGACCATGGGTTGCTCACCTTTCTTTTGATTACTTTCGGACAAATGGGCCTCTCGCGCCGCATGTCGACATCATTCGAAGGCCCTTGCGCGCTCTGGAGGTGGGGCACGATCCGTTTCAAATATTACCTTGCGGGCCACGCTTTCGCGTCGGCCGCGCGCGCACGTCGAACTCCTTGCCACACCGTCACCACCGATGCTTGGAGGCCGTCATCGTCGTCGGCGTGATTCGCATCAGCACCGTCACTGGCCGTGCCGTCGCCGTTGTCATCATCGTCACCAGCATCGCTACAATCATCATCGTGTCTACCGTGGTCGACGTTGCCATGATACCGCCCCCGCCCACATCGCCGACTCGCACTGAAGTGCCCGCTGGGAAATGTCCAGCGGACAGCGCCACCGCGGCCGCGTCGGAAACGCCAAACTAACTGGCCGCTGCGCGCGCGACAATGCGCGGGCTAGCGCGGCCGCAGAGATGCACCAGCCAAAACCAAGCACTCATCGCACTTGCAGCCGTGTGGGTTTTGCAAATCAAGTTGCGGGCTGGTGTGTTGCACGGCGCAGAATGCACCACGTCGATTGCACAACATAGATTGCGCACCACATGGAGCGCACTACACATAGTGCCATAGTGTTTCACAGCAATTGCACAACATGGGTTGCACAACCGAGATTGCACCACATGTGATGCGCCACACAAATCGCAGGTTGCTCAACAACGATCGCACAACGTAGATTACACAAAACAGGTCAGAGCACATGTGTTGCACCAGGTCGTATGGCACAGCCTAGTTTACACTACAGAGAGTGCACAACATAGATTGCACCACACGTCGATTGCACCATTAAATTGCGCACCGGATTCATTGCACCACACAACTTGCACCACCAATATTACACAACATATATTCTCCTTTCTAAAAAAAAGAATAGACTCTACCCCCCCCCCCCCCCGGCGTTATCGCCCCCCTTTTGGATATGTAAATCACATATGTTTCTGACCACATGTCCATCCTAAATATGAAATCACAATATCCCAGGCCACCGGTATCCCCCCCTGAGGTTCCCTTGTGAAAAACACTGTGCGGTGACATCTTTTGTTCTAACATAACACTTGTTCACGAATCCCTTGCAACAGCAAAAAAAAAAAAAAAAAAAAAAAAAGGACGAAGTGCACATGCGCGCGCCGTCGCGCGCGCATGCCAAAATCCTTCAAACACCTTCGGTGCCGGAAAAAATTCGCAATCGAGTTCCGAAAAAACATACAAAACACATGGTTTCGTAAGACTGATTTGCTAAAAAAGCTTACGCGCGAGTTCTTGCGAAATCTCAAGAAAACCATTGGTTTTTCAAGATCTTCACAACATGCTACCAAACGGGCGTCGCGCGCGCGCATGTCGAAATCTGCCGAACGCCCTTGCGCGTGTGCCGTCGCGGGAATCCTCTGCAAAAAATGAAACGAAGTGCAGACGCGCGCGTCGTCGCGCGCGTACGCCGAAATCCTTCAGAACCCATCAGTTTCGGAAGGATTTCAAAATCGCGCGTCCAAAAAACCTACAACAACACAAGGTTTCGCAACACGGATGTTCAACAAAAGCGTGCGCGCGCGCTCTTGCGGCGTCGTCGTCGTCGTCGTCGTCGCCTACGTCGTCCTGTGTCTTTCCTCGTGTTCGTCGTCGTCGTCATCTTTGGCGTCGTGGTCGTTTCCGTCGTCGTTGTCGCCGTGGTCGTCCTTCCTCCTCCTCCCTCGTCGTCGTCGTCGTCCGTCGTCGGCGTCTCGTCGTCGTCCCTCCTATTTCGTCGCCGTCGTCGTCGTCGTTGTCGTCGTCGTCGTCGTCGTCTTCCCTCCTCCCTCGTCGTTGTCGTCGTCGGCGCCGCCATCCTTCCTCCTTCTTCGTCGTTCGCGTCGTCGCCGTCCTCCCTCCTCCCTCGTTGTCGTTGTCGTCGTTGTCGCCGTCGTCGCCCTCCCTCCTCCCTCGTCGTCGTCTTCGTTGGCGACGTCGTCGTCGTCTTCGTCGTCGTCGTCGGCGTCGGCGTCGTCGTCTTCGTCGTCGTCGGCGTCGGCGTCGTCGTCGTCGCCGCCGTCGTCGTCGTCGTCGTCGTCGTCGTCGGCCGTCTTGCTTCTCCAGCCTTCTTGGGGCGCTCTTGAGACGCCCCCGATGGCTCCAAGACGACCCAGGAGCGATATCTGTGCTCGATCCCGCATGGGTTTTGCAAACCAAGTTGCGGGTGGGTGGGTGGGATGATTGCGCGAGCAGTGGAGTTGACAACTGTAAGTTCGGCAAGTGAATTGCACAACGTAGATTGCGCCAACAAGCTTCACCTCATACCTTGTAACACATAGATTGTCACACATATTGTACGGCATGACGTGCTGTAAATCATATATATATATATATATATATATATATATATATAATGTCGCACGATATAGATTGCAACACCTATACTGTACAACGCGGATTGCGCCACATAGGTTGGCCAACATATATTGAACAAGCTATACTGCTAGACACACACTGGTTCTGGTCCACGATGGATATTCTGTGCGTGTGGGCATGCAATATAGCAGTAAACTTGTCATAGGTGATTGATTACCTCAAAAAGTGCGCAAACGAGGTGCCCAATACCTTGCCCGCCCAAGACGGCCCAAGAGCCTCCAGACACGGTGGCGGAATGGACCAAAGCCAGTCGATTCTCGAGCTTGAGATCTCGGTGCGCAATATTTTGAGATTGCAAGTAGCTTACTGCTCGCAGCATCTGCGTCGTGACGTGTGCTGCCTCACATTCCGCGTAGGACTGCTTCCTGTGCAAATGATCGAACAACTCTCCACCATTGCAGCACTCCATCACCAGCGCAAGGGCATCCTCGGAGTCGTAGACGTCGTGCAATCGCACGATGTTTCGGGGGACGTCAACCCACCGATCCTACCTGGGCACCGGATCGGTGTCTACGCCCTCCTGGCTTGGCGAGGGAGGCGCCGACGCCGATCCTGGTCCCGGGATGGGCCCGGCCAGGATCGGTGAGGTGGCAAGTTGCAGTCCCCCGAGATATTTGGGTGGTCGAGCGTGAGATATATCTCCACCTCGCGCTTGAGCATCGACAGCGCCTCCGGTGACAGCGACTGCTTCGAAAAGCGCTTGAGGGCGTACCTCCGCCCGTCCAGCCGGCAGGTGGCGGCCACCACCTCCCCGCTGGCGCCGCAGCCGAGGACGGTGCCGTCGACCACGTAGCTGTCCTGGGGCATACGGCCAAAATCCGCAGTAAGGATGCAAGGTAAGGATGCAAGGTAAGGATGCAAGGTGAGGGTGCAAGACCCTTAGAAGTCCCACTTACCATTTAGAGCTCTGCAGACGTCGTCAACATTGGCCCACGATGGTCCAAAAAAGCAGGGACGCAAGAGCAGCCTTGATTAAGCAGCACGTCCTTACTATGGATTTGACTGAAACCAGCCTCGAGCTCATCCCCATGTCTAAGATCGACAGGCCCGAGGCGATGACAATCTTAGGGATGTGCCTGGTAGGGCTTCGGGTTGCACCCAGACAGCCCCCCAGGTAGCGCTGGCTGGCCTCAACAGCTCCCCGGATAGTCCGGGGAGGTCTCAACACCCTGGCGCCACCTCCAGCGGCGCCCTCTGCGCTCCAGGGCTGGGATGTTGAGACAGTCCCAGGCTACCCGGGGGACCTGCTGAGGTCGGCCAAGACTACCTGCAGGGGGGGAGTCTGTGCGCAACCCGAACACTTACCAGATTTCCCCTCAGAACCCGAAGTGATCCTTCGTATCGGCACTGGGGCAAGGCGGTGCCATCATTGGGGCAGTGATCTTTTTCGGGATGGTAGAAGCAGCCACCGACGACCCAGCAACGCAGATCGGAAGCCGGGCAAGGGCTGCTAAATCCGTGGCTGCTAAAATCGACCTCCGGGAAGTTGTCTCCGTCCTTCCGGGAAGAAGCCCGTTGACTGTTTCGCGTGCCGCGCCTCATTCCAGGAAGTTGTTTTCTCCTTCCGGGAGGGCCGTTTTAGCAGCCACGGTTTTAGCAGCCCTCGCCCAGCTTCCGAACAGACCTCCAGGCGTCGCGTGAAAAACGCGACGACCGCCGACTTTCCTCTGACTCGGACTCTTGGGCTGGGGGGGGGCAGTTTCTGGGCCACGGAACAATCAGACAACGATCTGAGAGAGAATCCAAGAGGAAGGGGTCGATGGGTCCAGAGACCCATGTCAATCCACCTGTACCGCATCCCACTTGCAAGACCACACGAAAAAAATATCCTGGCGAAGGACCCAACCATATGCAGTTGTGGGTACCGCAATTGTGAATACCTTCTTCGGTGAAGCTCCCTATGGGGCCACGAAGCGCTACACTGGGTGGGGGGGAACGCATGCGGGCGGTAGCACTGGGGCCGTCGGTGGAGCTCCCTATGGGGCCACGAAACGCTGTACTGGGTGCGAGAAAATGCAAAATTGAATGTGTGCAGGACGCACGCGGACGGTCCCACTGGGGGCTTCGGTGGAGCTCCCTATGGGGCTACGAAGCGCTGTAATGCGAAAATGCCAAATTGAGTTTCCGGGACGCATGCGGGCGGTCCCACTGGGGGCTTCGGTGGAGCTCCCTATGGGGCAACGGAACGCTGTAATGGGGGGCTGAAAATGCCAAATGGGCTTCTGGGGCGCATGCGGGCGGTCCCACTGGGGGTTTCGGTGGAGCTCCTACTGAGGCCACGAAGCGCTGTACTTGGTAAATGAAAAATCCCAAGTTGGGCGACCGGGACGCATACGGACGGTCCCACTGGGGGCTTCGGTGGAGCTTCCTATGGGGCCACGAAACGCTGTACTGGGTAAGTGCAACTGCCAAATTAAATGCGTGGGACGCATGTGGGCGGTCCCACTGGGGGCTTTGGTGAAGCTCTCTATTGGTGCCGCTAATCGCTGTAGTGGGTGGGTGAAAATGTCCAATTGCGCGTGCGGGACGCATGCGGCCGGTCCCTCTGGGGGCTTCGGTGGAGCTTCCTATGGGGCCACGAAGCGCTGTACTGGGTAAGTGCAACTGCCAAATTAAATGTGTGGGACGCATGTGGGCGGTCCCACTGGGGGCTTTGGTGAAGCTCTCTATTGGGGTCGCTAATCGCCGTACTGGGTGGGTGAAAATGTCAAATTGCGTGTGCGGGACGCATGCGGCCGGTCCCTCTGGGGGCTTCGGTGGAGCTCCCTATGGGGCCACGAAACGCTGCACTGGGTGGGCGAAAATGCCAAATTGGGTGCGCGGGACGTATGCGGACGGTTCCACTGGCCACGAAACGCTGTACTGGGTGTGGCGGACGCATGTGGCCACCCCTACTGCGATGGAGCTCCCTATGGGGCCACGAAACACTGCACTGGATGGCCGAAAATGCCAAATTGGGTGAGCGGGACGTGCGCGGACGGTCCCACTGGCTACGAAACGCTGTACTGGGTGTGGCGGACGCATGTGGCCACCTCTACTAGGGTCTCCGATGGAGCTCCCTATGGGGCCACGAAGCGATGTACTGGGTGTGGCGGACGCATGTGGTACCCCCCACTGGGCCTTACGTGGAGCTCCCTATGGGCCACGAAATTTTGTACTGGGTGCGGCGGACGCCATTGATACCCCCACTGGAACCTTACGTGGAGCTCCCTATGGGGCCACGAAGCGCTGTACTGGGTGTGGCAGACGCATGTGGTACCCCCGCTGGGGCCTTACGTGGAGCTCCCTATGGGCCACGAAACGCTGTACTGGGTGTGGCAGATGCATGTGGTACCCCCCCTGGGCCTTACGTGGAGCTCCCTATGGGGCCACGAAGCGCTGCACTGGGTGTGGCAGACGCATGTGGTACCCCACTGGGGGCTTCGGTGGAGCTCCCCTATGGGGAGACGACACGTTGCACTGGGTGTGGCAGACGCTTGTGGTACCCCCCACTGTGGCCTCCGGTGGAGCCCCCTATGGGGCCACGAAACGCTGCACTGGGTGTGGCAGACGCATGTGGTACCCCCACTGGGGCCTTACGTGGAGCTTCCTAGGGGGCCACGAAGCGCTGTACTGGGTGTGGCAAACGCATGTGGTACCCCCGACTGGGTCCTTACGGGGAGCTCCCTATTGGGCCACGAAGCGTTGCACTGGGTGTGGCAGACGCATGTGATACCCCCACTGGGGGGGAGGGGGGGGGCACGGGAAGAGGAGGAGACGCGGGGACTGCTTCTTCAAAACGAGGACCCAACACCACAGGATGGTTGGGCAAACGCTAACTTAAATAAGAGCATTGGGCCAGCTTCCCAACCACAAATTATTCAAACAAACCTTGGCCAATGTCTGTTTGTAACGCTGGGGGGCGAACGTGCTCAAAAAAATGGGCCAGCTTCCCGGTAAGTTGGTTAAGAACCGCTGGCCCACCTTTTCGGGAGGAGGTTTCTTAACCAAATGCTTGATTGTAGGTCGCCTGAACGCCTAATTTTGCGCTTCGCGGAGGGCTAACGCGCTTCCCTTCGCGCTCTCATATTCGCGGAGGGCTAGGCCGCGAAGCGCGAAGCGGAGTCATGTTCGCGCCCCTACGGGCAACCCAAACGAATCGCTGAAATGCTGATGGTTGACGGCGCGCAAGGGGGATAAGGGGGAGGGGGAAGGCTTCTTAGAAGGAGGCTGCTTCTTAGACGGCGCCAGCCCTACATCTACAGACGAGGCCCACGCCTTCTAAGAAGCAGGAGTGCTTCTGAGAAGCGTTCCCGCCTCCCCCTGCCCCCCTCTGCTCGTGGCTGGCCTGGACCCCCCTCCGCAAACGGAGACGGTCCACCGAGCGATCTGCTGCAGTCATGTGGCGTCGGAGGGCTCCTGGCCATGCTGGCTTTCAGCACCTGAGGTCCTGAAGCTGGCACTGTGCGGAGTGGTACCTGGACGAGCTGAGGGACGGGTTGTCCTTGGCGAGCGCGCGGAGAAGGTGTGCGGGGCGCGAGGTGGGCGGCACACTGAGAAGGCCACGGGCCTGGAGAGACCCGGGGGGGGCTTCCGAGAAGGAATCCTCGGCATGGCGGGAGCGCCTCTACGAGGCCCCCCCCCTGAGACAAGGCCAGGACGAGGACAAAATCGGGTGGGGATGCATCAGGAACCGCTGGGATCTGGCGGCTCTGGAGGATGTCTCTGGCGCCGCGGCCTTCTCAGAGCGTTCGGAGCGCTCTGAGAGCCTTCCGGAACGCTCTGGAATGGATTTGTCCTCGTTCTAGCCCCGTCCCGACCCCCCCCCGCTGCCTTCTCATATCATGAAGGCCGACAGCCCTAGACATCCGGCCGTGCATTTTTGCCAATGCGCGGCCCCCAGGGGTCGGCCCGGAAGCTGGAAGAAGAAACATCTGCATGGACATAACCTTGCGGAGGTCCGCGACGACTTCTTTGCTCGGCGATGGACACTCCTCCCTGCCGCGCGGAGGGCGCCAGGAGTGGGGCCAGAAGTGCCACCAGGGCAGTCCAGTGCCGGCAGAAGATATCCGCGCGGATTTCCCAAAGCTTATGATTATGTGGTTTTCATTCGTGGAAGCGTGAGAGACGTTTTCGCTGAAAAGTGAGAGGTGCGCACATGATATATGCACTAAGGTATGCGGACACTTGCCAAAACCATGATGCACGCCTCTCACACTCGCAAACACACTCATGAGAATGGCCACTACACTGTGCGTGATGGCAATTTCGAACATGGTTTCATGGTCCTGCTCCTGTCCCCGAAAGAGCGGGCCTCAGGGGCCGGAATCAAAGAGAAACGGCAGGTCTGAAGAGAGCACGTGTTGTCGAAAATACGGGCACCTCTTGCTACCGACCCACCTTTTCGCCTGCGCGCCCCGGGATGGCACCAGCCCTGCGCCACCACCGAACCTGGCCAGGGATGGTGGCTGGGCCCAGCCGTGGCCCTGGGATGTGGGCCAAAGGGATCGAATGGCTCAAGCATGTCGGCCCAGGTGGCCGCCTCATGAGCAGGCGGCAAGGGGCGCGCGCGCGCGGCAGACGAGGTGCTCACGGGAACCCCCCAGGCCTCGCACCCAGGAAAAAGACGTGGTGATTGTGCAGGCCTTGCGCATCATTCACTGGTCGGTGATCCCTCTTCCTCTCTCCCTCCTCCTCTTCCCGTGAGATCCCCAACGTCGCATTCTTGTTCGCAATATTTCGCCCTACTTCGGGCCTCGGGACCCTCACGGATCGAAATGGTTGGAGAAACGCCGCAGAAACGTAGGGTCGAGGGCTTGGTGCTGTGATATTCAACGATGCTGCGTTTGTCCGCGACGTCGGATCTCAGGGTCTGACTCTTCCCCCTCAGGGATGAAAGAGGCGGATCTCTGTAGGTGCCCTCCTCCCCTGGGGGTGCACGCGCCTCTCAGACCTGGCCAGGAAGGCGTCATGTGGACGCGCCGATCCCGGGCACCTCCGGCAGAGACACAAAATAACAAACAATCAAGAATCCGCAATCCTTGTCCAGAACTCTCGACCACTTCTCCCCGCGGTGCTGCTTATTCGTCGCCAGGCCGCTCCTGGATAGTCCCAGGGCCGGCAAAAGGCCCGCGAGGGACCGGACACACGGGAAACGAGGCCAGGTCTGCCAGAGGTTGTGGACATGGCTGGCGCTGCCTGCGCCTCCCAGGCCAAGCCAGGAAAGCACAATATGTGATCCAGGGTCGAGGGTTCACACACACCCCATAACTGAAGGGATGGGCGCCACGGTTCACAGACCCCCTCCGGCTTGATGGAATAGGGGAACGACGACGACGACGACCACGACGACCACCAACGACAAAGACGTCCAACGACGACGACGAGGACGACGACGACGACAACGACGACGGCGCTGGAGGCGGCGACGACGCTGGAGGCGGCAACGACAACGACAACGACGACGACGACGATGGACGACGACGACGACGACGACGACGATGACGACGACGACGGCGAAGGCGGCGGCGGCGACGACGACGCCGCCATGCTCACAGGGCCGCGGCCACATGGACCCATCCAGCGAGGAGAGGGCGATCCAAATAGCATTGGATGGGGGGCGGCCCGGAACCGTGGATCAAATACGCCGATCCATGGGCCAAGGATCGGTGAGGTGGTCGGTCCGGAACATCCTCCATCGAGTTGTTCCGGGGGTAGAGGTCTGGACGCCTTCCCGGGGACTGGTTCTTCGTCCTATGGGTAATTTATAAAGGCCACAATGCCCTGCAGGTGCCCCTGGAAGCCGAAATAAACAAGAAACCTCCGTCGAGACTTCTTTACAACGAAAGGACGTCAGGGGGAAATCTGAAATATTGCAGACGTCGCCAAAACATCGAGAAACCAACAGAAATCGACGCAGCGCAGCTACTCCCCAGACCTCTCCCAAGGTGCGTTCCGACCAAAATTTCGACACGAATCTAGCCATGGCGACGAGGGCCTCCCAGGAGGCTCAAATATGAGAACTCGAAGGGACTGGTAGCGGCATCGGTACCTCTTCCTCCTCCGAAACCCACTGGTCCGAGAACTTGCGGACGAATTCCACGGAGATGTCGGGGTCGCCCAACTCCTGAGGCCGCTCCCCGCTGGGTTTCCAAAATCCTCCGCAAGACGCCCACGCATGTGAGCAAACGCGTTCAAGATGTTTCTGTGCATCAGGTGCTCTACACCATTTGCAATGCAGCCCAACCAAGGCGATGCATATGTTCCATCTTATCATAACTCAGGGGATCTCTTCGAGAGGATCTTGGTCTAGACGTGTCCCTTCATGTTGATCGACGACGTGGCGGCGATCTTTTGTACCGCCTGAGAAGCGCGGCCGACGCTCGTCAGTCAGATTCGCCTGACACCTCCTTCGAGGCGCACAAGGTTGCTTGTGCCAAACGCCCGCAGCGGCGGGCGGATGGGGTGATAATCTGGCGCAGGCAGGAGCGAACGTTTTGGACCCCCCCCGGCGTGAGGGAGGCACCGGGGCAACCGCGTCCTCGCGCGCTGGCCGTCGGCGCGCCGCGCCCGGGGGGCGCTCGCCTTAGAAAGGTGTCCACAGCGCTCGCCCTCCGCGCGGTGCTGGCTCCCGCCGCAGAGGCAAGGGGGGCCAGGTGCTCGACGGGCTCCGAACCCACACGGCAGGCCCTCGGGGCGCCCGAGCGCTGAGCGCTCAGTCGCACAAGTGTCATCGCCGCTCGCGACGACATCGACCACTTCTTGCTCCGACCGCCGCTATACTTGTTTCTCTTGCCCCACTCCAACTCGGAGTCGTAGTGCCCACGAAGACTTGCGACGTGCATCCTTCCAGTTCCAGGCCCTTACTCCCGCTCCTCTTCACGCCGAACGCTTCCCGAGCGCGAGCGGCCACCCCTGGCGCCGCCGGCCTCGTGGCACTAAAAAGACCCACCCGAAGTCCAGACGCAATCGCCAGCGCTGCCGGCATCATGGTCTCGACTGGGCAATTTCTCTCCATCCTCTTATAGGGAGCCCACACAAGACGTACGCGTCCAACCATGTACATGAACACGGCCCCCAAATCCGCGAGACTGGCCGCGTGATTCGAACGTTCCCGCAATGCGTACTCTCGAAACCAACTTAGTTAACTTGGATTAATGTACGTGTGCGTCCCTCTTTCGCTCCTGCTCTTAGCGATCCTCACTTTCGTCGCTCCCACAGCGACCGCTGGACTTGCGAGAGACTCTTGCCCGTGCCCCACCTTTGCCCTCGTCGCGACCCTGCCCCGTGGTCTTGGCCGCTTTAGCGCCTGCAGGGGCATCGCCTCCCCCGCGCCTATCGCGATCTCTTTTGGCGCGCGTCTCCGTCGGAGGGGGGCGAAGGCGGATTGGGTTTAGGTCGGGCGCGTCCCCATACTGGCGGATGTTAAACGAAAAATAAAACAGACAAACAAATATTCAAAAAACGCTCAGGAATAATGAAAAGTCGCCCCCCAGACTATTTGTTTGACTATTTTTGAATACTCCCCCTCTACCGTGCTCTATCACGGCGAGATGAACCGATAGGGGTCTATCAGAAAGGCCTTCTGAACGGTATTTTCGCCGATCCACCTTTCGCCGCGCAATTCCCACGCTTCAGCCGCGACGCAGCCGCGGAACATCGGGTCTGTCTGACCATGCACATTGCGACAGGACGAGCGCACATTCTCGATATCTCCACGATCACGTAAACGACCCTCCAGGCAAACCAGGCTTTGTCGGCGTAGAGCCAAGTCTCGTTCCTCGTCCTTCTGAGCCCGGGCGCGATCCGTTCCTTCCTCCCCCCCTTTCCCTCTGCCCTCCGCGCGTACCTGAGGCGGAGCGCCCCTCGCGCTCCGTGGCCCCATGGGGACTTTCACAGACGGCCCAAATTCCAGCGTTCGCATGCGCTCACCTCACCAATACTGCAAGCCCCTCACACGCTTCGTGGCCCAATAGGGAGCTCCACCGACGGCCCCAGTAGTAGCTGCGTTCGCATGCGCCCACCGCACCCATTCTGGCACACCTCCGCGCGCTTCGCTGCCCCATAGGAAGTTCCACCGACGGCCCCAGCGGTTGCGCTCGCATGCGCCCACCGCGCCCATATCGGCACATCGCTCACACGTATCGTGGCCCGATAGAGAGCTCCACCGGCGGCCCCAGTGGCTGCGTTTGCATGCGCCCACCGCGCCCATTTTGGCACACCACGCGCATGTTTCGTGGCCCCATAGGGAGCTACACCGGAGGTCATTCATGCGCCCAGCGCACCCAATTCGGCACACCCCTCACACGCTGCGCGGCACCATGGGGAGTTCCACCGACGGCCCCACTGGCTGCGTTCGCATGCGCACACCGCGCTCATTTGCAGACCCCGCATACGCTTCGTGACACCGTAGGGAGCTCCACCGACGGCCCAACTAGCTGCGTTCGCACGCGCCCACTGCACTCACTCACTTCGGCGCACCCCGTGCATGTTTCGTGGCCCCATCGGGAGCTCCACGGACGGCCTCGATGGCTGCGTTCCGTCCGTCCTCCGCGCCCATTGCGGCACACCCTCGCAAGTTTCGTGGCCCCACAAGGAGCTCCACCGACGGACCCACTGCTTACGTTCGCGCGCGCCAATCGCACCCATTCTGGCACAACCTCGCACGTTGGGGGGCCCCATAAGGGGGCCCCCCGCTGAAGGTCCACAGGCCAGCGTTCGCATGCGCCCACCGCGCCTATTTCGACACACCCCTCGCAAGCTTCGCGGCGCCATCGGGAGCTCCACCGACGGCCCCAGTGGCTGCGCTCGCATGCGCCCACCGCACCATGTTGGCACACCCCTCATACGCTTAGTGGCCCCATAGGGAGCTCCACCGACGGCCCCAGTTGCTGCGCTCGCGTGCGCGCGCCGCGCCCACTTTCGGACACCCCTCACACGTTTCGTGGCCCCAGAGGGAGCCCCGCCGAAGGCCTCCAATGGCTGCGTTCACATGCGCCCACCACGCCCCTTCTGGTACACAAAGCATACGTTTCGTGCCCCCCCAGGGAGCTCCACCGACGGCCCCAGTGGCCACGTTCGCATGCGCCCACCGCACCGATTTGGGCACACGCCTCGCACTTTTCGCGGTCGCGCAGCTAGCTCCACCGACGGCCCCAGCGGCTGCTGTCGCACGCGCCCGCCGCGCCCATTTTGGCACGCCCTCCACATGTCTCGTGGCCCGATAGGGAGCTCCTCCGAATGCTGCGTGCATCGACGGTGCTCATAACTGCATATGATTAGGTTTATTCGCCAAGCTAATTTGAGCAGGGCCTTCCGAGCTGGCCGCGTCAGCCACGGCTGCGCCTGCGTCGCCGCTCCAGCCGCCACCCCAATCCCAAAGGGGCGGAATGGCGCAGAACGCTCGCAGCCCAAGATTCTGCAGCGCATGTGATTTCTGGATCCAGGGGGCGAAGGAATACGCGACAATCTCGTTGCAACACGGGCGCGCAAGGGTCGCGAGCTGCAGCTGGCCGCAGCAACACCGCGCGACATTATTCTCGTCTCGCCGCGGAGCCTGTCTGCATTGGATCTGCCGCCCTTCAGGGGCATGGAAATCCTGGCCCCTATGTTCTCGATCGCCGGTCATTCCTCGGCAGCTGCTGCGCCGGCGGCATTCGCCCTGGGACCGGGTGGCGCTTCGTGGAGTCGCGATCGCACGCGTTCAACCACCTTACTTAGGCACCTTCGAACGCCAACCTATACACGGCAGACACCCGCCGAAAACGAGGGCTCTTCCCGGCGAGGATCTGCTCGCCAGGCCACAGCGCAAAGCCTCGACTTCTCAGTGTTTTTTTTGTTTGAACAGAGCGCCACTGGCACCTCGGCGCTCTCAGCTTCGGGCCCAGCGATCGCTGCAGCACTTTACTTCGCCGCGTGGAAACGAGGGTGTTCTATGTCGCGGCGACAAGGGAATCTCGCGCCCCGTGTACTTCCTGGCACTCAGCCTTGGCCAGTGACGCACGCGCAAGACCGCGCGACGACTCCATCTCTATTTCACGCGGAGACGAGATCCGCCTCGCCTCTGCGCAGGCGACAATGTGCCCGCTACTCATGCAGATCGAACAAGGAATATCGCTTCTCGCCGTTTGGCAAGCCCTCCAACATGTCTCATGAATTTTGTCCTCGGTGATGAAAGCATTCGTCATTATCTGCAAGTCCCCCGGAATCGAGCCAGTCTGGGCGTTCGCGCGGATGATAATTACCTCGGGCTTGGGGCCCCCGCCTAACTTCATCTGACACACGTTGCCAGGGGGCCTGGCTTCGCGCCCCGAGATGAAAACGGCGAAGGAACAGTGGCGCACGGGGCCACAACAAAAGCTCCTCGACTCCACGAATCTCGTCGCCTTCCACAGGTACGCCTTCGTCGAAATTACCATGTGGGGTGATGCGCTCTCTGGGGCAGGCACTGTTATACGGTTCGGAATCGCGTATAAACTCTTACGAATCGCGCAATGTTCCAGCGTAGCGTAGCGCTTTGTTTTGTCTCCTTTGGAATCGACGCCTTCTAGCACGACGCCCATGCTGCCGCTAGTCCGACCTAGCGAGCTCTGTCAGCGGAACATCAGCGAGCCTCCTCAACGATTGGACCGCGGGTGGCACAAGGCCAGAATCGAGGCACACGTCATCGCGATGCAGATATTAGAATCCGGATCACACAAGTCTCTCTGGAGCTCTTCCTACGCTCAGTTCCGAACCTGAACGTCGTGCGACTGGTGCGCCGCGTGGCCGGAGCGGGCAGATCGACCCTCAGCTTAGCTCGGGTTGTCTTTGGCTCGGGGGGGCCCGCGACCTCGACTAGAACCCATTGCGATTCGTCATTGGGGGAACCGCCAAATCGTTGTAAGAATCCCATGCCACCTTGGGTTCGACGACGGGCGCCCGACCATGCATGAAAGCGCTTTCTCGCGTTCGTCACTGCCCAGAAGAATTATTTGCGAGGCCCGGGGGCATCAAACACAACGCGCCCATTTTTGTCCTGACTGTTCTCATCCGTCTACACGTGTTCAAATGCAAGCCACTCCACCCTCCTGTAAATCTCACGCGTGCCGCTGGTGGTTGGATCCACGCCCGCGGGAAACACTGTCG